AGTTAGTTGCGCATATAGATAAGCAAGGAAAGCTGCATACCTGTCGGCTTTGATTTGTTCTCGAAGTCTTCTCAGATAAGCTTCCTGTTCACGCTTCTCGCGTCTTCTCTGTTCCGCAATCTCACGTCTTTCGCGTTCCTCACGGCTCGCCTTAAAGACCATTTCGGAGCTAAAGGCAACTAACTACTAGTGATATGACTGATTTTTACAGAAGCATCCCTCCAAATCGTTAAAACATATCACAGTGGCATAGGAGTAGTGATGTTCAGGACGGGGTAATACACCAAAGAATCCCTGCAAAGTGCTTCATTGGAAGAAATGCTAAGTTGGAAAAGGCCGAAATCCTTCATGAAATGATGCTAGGATTCGGACAGCCAGTATGCTGATTATTAAGCGATACAGCATTGGTTAAAACATTTGGAAAAATTGCCGGCTGCCTTTTGCCTAAATTTAATAGAAATTTACCAGTGAAATGAACAATTCGTTTCTAACGCTTCTGGCAATTTTTGCGTTTTTCTTCTACGAATTTTGTGTTGCTCCGGCCAATTTTTTGCACTGATCTTTGCACCTAATTAATCATTTTTCAATTTCTGGAAACTAATCTGGATATCTTCTATGAAGCCTAGATTTCTCTCTGAAGAATGGCATAAATAAATATCACACAAAAAGCCTTCATAAAACAGGTGTTTTGACAGCCAAATAAAAAGAATTGCCACAAACTTGTGCCTCGACCATTTGTTTGCCCAAATTTCTTCTCTCCAGTTCTTTGCGCATTTCTTCATTTTCCCTTGTTAACTCGTTTTCCACATGTTTCCTTTCAAGTTTTTCTTTTGCACTGAAAACGGCTGTATTTCAAATAAAAAATAATGCATCATAAATTAATATAGTAAAATTTTTTTTCTAAATAAGACGACATCAAAATCTTCAAATCCGATGCCAAAACTCCTTGTACCTATTCGGTGCGAAAGGCGAAGGCACTCGGAAACCAGTCCAAGTGGTACCGATGCCACATGCTGGCAGTGGTACCGATGGCCTGTCTATAAGTACGCTAGTGACGGTTTTGTCTCTATGGGCATGTGCCAGTATATCATCGGGATTAGTAAACAAATCGAAGTAGTGTTGATTACTCTGCTGGCCGAGTTGAACCTTAAGCCTTAGAAGGAAAGCATCGTCAGTGCACTGCATCCGCCGGCAGTTTCGAAAACAACTTCCGAAAAAGTTACCTTTTTGCTTCCCCTTCCACGGACGAACTCTTCACATGCTGGTTTTCGTTCGCTTCTACGCTGGGTTTACTTTGTACAGCTGATGCTGAAGATGAGGGTTGATCAGGAGCATGTGCCATCTAAAACACCGCTGATACACTTACTGAACGCAAAGTTCAAATGGCCATGTTGAAATTAATGGAGGGTAAAACATCATTTGTTATTGCTCATCGGATGTCGACCATTGAAATTTTTACTAACAATAAATTTTACCACTAACATTAAATAAGGGACGCTCTATCTAGAAAATCAGGAACTGAAAATATTTTCCAACATGCGCGTTTGAAAAACTGTTGAGGATA